GGAAACTTGCTCTCAAACTGGTTGTAGTAGTGGCATTTCCTAGACTTCACTAGATTACGACACATAAATGCTTTTACCGCAGTATTCCCTTCCTTCATGACCTTGTCGTTGATACAAAGAACATCGCGAGATCCCAAAGTAATCGTCTTTGTACTTCAAATTGAAATGCTTCATTACTTCGCAGAATATAATTATGTTAAACATACTGCAGGCATCAAAGACAGCAAGAAAATTAGTCTTCGGGCCAACTACATAAATGCTACTTAAGCCGGTTCTTTCCACTTTTTGCCATGTAAATGCAGTTTAAAAAGCTTATGGGTGAAAAACAGTACTATATGAACAAACATCACTTAACTTGTATAAGTCAGAGGCTTTGAAATAAATACCGTTTCAGTTGTTACACACTATTTATAGCAAAGAACAAAACCAATTCGCTCCCGAGGCCAAAGAACTTGCTACAATAAAACGCTTACTCTTTATAAAGTGTTTTGTTCAGCTCACGTACGACTTGGGAAAGTTGGCTGTGTGTTCGAGACGCGTAGTAAACTTTTGGAAACAGTGATCCAGAAGATACGCCTGGAGTACTGATAAGAAAATAGTTGTTAAGTCTTCTGAATGAACTTGCAGATGACTGGCTCAAATAAATTCAGAGTGGTAGTGCTACTATTGGCAACTGTATAGAGACTGAAAGAGGCTCAGATCAATAAACATACCTTGAACAGTACCAGCAACATCAATTGTTAACTTCGACTTAAAGTCTTTAACATAGGCAAGAGCACCACAGAGAAGACACAAAGTCTTTCCAGTTCCAGTAGGTGACTCAAGAGCCGCATTCTGACCCTAAAGTAAAATTTGGAAAACAATACTGTTTCTTTTCTGTAAATTTTATTACTAATAACACAAATATGCGGTACAATTTATTAATTATTACCGTGTGCACTTTTATCCAAAATTGCTTAAATAATGAAAAACATGATCACTTGCGTAAAGGCTAAACAAGGTATTAGTAGTCACCTTTCTCAAAGCTTCAGTAATCTTTCGAATAAATCTTATTTGACAGTCGTAGGCTTCATATGGAAATTCTACTTGGATACCATCAAAATCCAACAACATCTACAGTCGAATACAAGGAAGTAATTAGTAAGTAATGACCAAGATTCAGTATTAACTAACGAATCTGAAAATAACCAAAAATAATCAATGGAAGACCTTAAGATCGTCGTCAGTTCTCTTTTTTTGCCTTTCAAGAATGTTATGTTATTGCGTAAAATTCGATGGGACATAGTAACTAGACCACCAAAAAAGGAAATGATGAAGTAAAAAGACCACTAAACTATAAGTACTAAAATGAGGACTTGATAACTTTGATCACCTGGTATGACTGTACTAAACACTGAGCTTTTCGTAATGGTAATCAAATGATGTGTTGTTGAGGGGGTGAACCAAAATTTATACAGCGTTTTATCCCGCCGTTCAAAAGTGCGGCAACTTTAAACGTTAATGCAGGCAGTAGTGAAACTTTTGACGATAGACCAGTGGTTTCTGCAATTCCTCAGAACAGTTCGCACATTTATTTTTCGGTATATCTTAACACTGATTGAAAGTGCTCGTTTTATATATATGAGTAAATTTTAAGTGTCGCTTATAGGTATTTGAAATGTATTTTCATTCTCACCTTTAGTAACTGAGAAATATTATTGTTTTTTCTAATTTACGAGTGGTACTTGTTGAAAAAAATTATTTTTTTTTTTTTTTTTGTTTCCAGTTTTTGTAACTCCTTTTGTAATGCAAAAACTGTTCACAAGAAGGAAAAAAAAAGAGTAATTACATTTAATAGAGTACCAAACTGTTTGTTGAAATGTCATAAAATTTAGACAAAGCGATACTGTTGACAGTCGAGAACAAAAGACGAAAACTATTTATCACCAGTTGTTTTTGCAGACAGTAGTTTCTTTTCTCCTGTTTTTCACGAACAGCAATTGCCCAATTGCTATGTCATTCAATAAATCTTTCACGACGATTTAAAAAAAAAAAAGCATGACATTGGTGTGTTTTCCCATTACCGTACTCAGCAGTCATAATTTTTTTTTTTTCAGCATGAATAATTCTTTAGATTTGGCTTGTTAGTTTATATTATATTTTAAAAGCCTAATATTTGTAATTTATAGGAAGTGTAGAAATGATACATATTAATAAAGGTGGGATATGAAAAGTTTTTTTCCTGAACAATGAAAAAGCAGATATAGTAAATTCAAAACAAAAGTTTGCCGTTATGAACAACCTTTTGATTATACTATAGAAGTTAGTGAGTTAAAAGCTATTAAACTTTAATCCCCTGACAGTTTTTTTGCTAAACAAGTGTAACAAATGTAATGTCAGAGAAAGACGAAATTGTAAACTTATTTTATGGCTTTGCAATACTGACTTATTATGTCTATTTCAAAAGCTTACATTACTAAAGAAAAATTAATGATAAACAACCGACCTCTTCTTTAGCTCATTACGTTTTCACCTAAATAGTGTTAATTCAAGACTTAACTTTCCACGGTCTTTTGTGTACATTTCAACTGTAATGGCAGTTAGGGATTCATTCATCGGTGAGCCGCTCACCGATGTATTATATCACTTGCTTCTTTCCCCAGATCCTAAATTTTCAGTTAAAAGTTTATTTTTTCTCTGGAGATACCACTCAGGAAGGTTTCATCTACTTCTTCAAATATATTACTTCAATTTTCCTTGCTTAATTTTTGGAACTGTTTATCGTGCCTTTAATCCTTCAGCCCAATTCCGAATCAGTTATGGTACAAAGTTCATTATTTAACTAGTCCAACAGCTTCCTTAGGATCTTAATATCTTTTAATCATCAAGGTTTTAAACAAAAAAAAAAAAAGATCTCTTTGCTGTCTCTGTGGCAGCCAACTAAGAATTGAGTAATTTCAACTGACAATTATGGATGCGCATTAACGGTTCTAAGAAATAAAAATGCAGTTATATCAAATGTAGTTTGTAAACAGTAGGATAATCGTTTTGACTGCACAGCAATTTACAAATTTTTTCCATTAGATTAAGGAAAACAAAAATCAAATATAATCGGAAGTGGGCTTGGGGTTTTTTTTTAGAATACGGATTAAGTGAATTATTTCGCTGCGCTTAGTATGAAGTTTAAATTTTAAATTTGTACCGTAGTGAAAAGGGGTAACGATTTGGCTCGTCAGGAATGGACGCATACGCGCGCAAAATGCGCTGTGTGAGGTGCGCGCTACTGACGTTCTTTATTGTTGCGGTTGCATTGGTCTGATCTCCTAACGGGTTCAACTGTGGTTGCCGTCTTTGGCTGCGCATTCAATCCGTCGTAAGGAGGTTTATTCTGTTGATGGCTGTTGTCGAGGCATGTCTACTGGTAATATAAAAATCACGAACGACGCTATTCAAGACGCCTTGCAACGCGCAAAAGAGGTAGGTAGTTTTACTTTTTTTTTTTTTGATTCTGATAATTAGTGTATAATCTCATAGGACCTCAGGAGTTTTGCCGTAATTATTTGCTAATATTGAAAGCTTGCTACCTTGTAAAGCGTATCGTGAATTTTTTCCTCTTAGTGG